TGTCTGTGTCTGTGTCTGTGTCTGTGTCAACACACCTGACTGGTTTAAGGTTTAGTCCAGGTTTAATCCAACGGGGATGAAAAGGACGAGGCAGCAAATTAACACCAAACACAAATATATAGTACAAACAGGGAAGAATAACTGCTGCCCCCTACTGGAGATAATAGATCAGTGTAATCGTTTTCCCGACGTCGTCAGACGACATCAACTCAATAAAAAAACAAAGCCGTTGGTGAAGTTCTAAAACATGTAGTGGTGGTCTCAGGTTTCTCCTGTCAGTGCCACTAGGAGGCGACGTTCACTAAATCAAATTATCTGTGATCTGTCCCCCCCGTTCCTGATGAAGTAAGTGTTTGGTCAAAGTTCCTGGTTGACTTCCTGTCTGTGGTGTCTGTGTCTAGGAGGACGTCGATGCTGCCGACAGTCAGACGAAGCCGCCGCCACAGGAAGTCTCTTTTGTCCATTTCCTCAAAAGTAAGAGACTCCTGTTAGCAGAAACTGTTTGTTTTGTGTTAGGTCACAAAAGGTCGTCCGCAGCTAGGTCAAAGTCCTTGATTAAAACCACCAGTCTGGAACCGATCAGACCAGAAGGTTCTGTGAGATCTCAGGTCTTCTCCGTCTTCTCCGTCTTCTCCGTCTTCTCCGTCTTCTCCGTGTCCCTCAGGTTTTCCTGGCACCGCTCTGCGGACCCTGCGCAGCCCCATCTACCTGCTGGTGGTCCTGGCCCAGGTCAACCTGGCGGCCATGCTCGCCGGCCTCGCCACCTTCATGGCCAAGTTCATCGAGAGACAGTTCAGCCAGACCGCCTCCTTCGCCACGCTGATGATCGGTGAGGCCGCGCCCCGCAGGTGTGGTGACTGTAAAAACCCACCTCACCGTGGTTTTGCTCCGTCTTCCAGGGGGCGTCGGCAGTCCTCTGGGCGTGCTCGGCACCGTCCTGGGTGGAGTTCTGATGAGAAGGTTGAACCTCTCCGTCAGTGGAGCCAGCAGACTGTGCTGCGGCGCCATCTTGCTCTGCATCTTCTCCTCCATGCCCCTGCTGTTCATTGGCTGTTCCACCCAGAAGGTCTCTGGAGTCTCCACACCGAGGTAACGCCCTCACTGACACAGGGCTCTAAACCTGTGGTCAGTGGAACCATAGGTGGTCAGTACTGACACAAAGCCAGGACAGAGGGATTATGGGCCGTCAGGAAACATCTGAGGAAGAAGAAGGTCCACGGAGGGACGAGACGTCCACCCGAGGTCCACCGAGGGACGAGACGTCCACCCCGTGGTCCACCGTGGTCCATGACTGGACCATATGAAGTCACTGGTGTTGAAAGAACAAACGGCTGTGACATCATCACTGTCGCTGACATCACCTGTGTGTGTGTGTGTGTGTGTGTGTGTGTGTGTGTGTGTGTGTGTGTGTGTGTTCCAGCTCTCCCGCTCTCTCCTGCCTCCGTGGCTGCAGTTGTCCTCTGGACCTGTTCAACCCGGTCTGTGGTTCTGACAGGATGGAGTTCCGGTCTCCGTGCCACGCGGGCTGTACCTCCAGGGAGACGGACGCCAGCGGTCGGATCACAGTAAGACACCTGCGGTCGGATGACTTCCTGTGTTAACCAGTGATGTCATCGTGGTGGGGGTCACCGTGGACCACGGGGTCACGTCTGACTCAACATCAGAGTTCAGAGTGACTGGAACTGTTGTTGATGTACAATGCAACACTGCCCCCTGTGGTTCCCAGTGGTACTGCGTCTGGTTCATCACTCACTCACACAGACTTCTCTTGTCCGTTCAGAACTACACCGACTGTGGGTGTGTCACTGGTTCTGGCTCCGCCTCCCCTGGGACCTGTGGCAGTGGATGTTCTCACCTGCTGCTCCCCTTCATGCTCCTCCTGGGGGTCACCTGCCTCATCGCCTCCTTCTCCCAGACGCCGTCCTACATGATGATCCTCAGGTGTGAATCGTTTATGGCTGAGACGTAGACCGACCCTGTAGACGACCTGCTGTGACCTGCTGTGACCTCTGTGTCTGTGTGTGTGTGTGTGTGTGTGTGCGCTGCAGGACGGGGGACTCCGAGGACAAGTCCTTTGCCGTGGGGGTCCAGTACATGCTCTTCAGGGTTCTGGGTGAGTCCTGGTCCTCACTGGGTCCACGGTCCTGGACTGAGAACCCTGTGTAACCTTGTGACCTCTGACCCCGCAGCGTTCATGCCCTGCCCCGTCCTGTACGGCAGCATCATCGACACCACCTGCCTCCTGTGGGGCAAGAAGTGCAACACGCAGACGTCGTGTCTCTACTACGACCTGGACAGTTTCAGACAGAGGTCAGACCCCCCCCCCCACACACACACCCAACTGATGTAGCACTTTGACCTCTGACCTCTGCTGCAGTTTGAGTTGTTTAGTTTTGGGTTTCGTCCGTGGTTCAACAACATGGACACAGCTGAACGGGGGGGGGGGGCCTGTAGGGGGCGTCAGACAGACCTGGTTTTGATCCTGGTGTTTGTTCCGTGCAGGTTTCTGGGTCTGGAGGCGGTCTTCGTGTGCGGGGCCCTGATCTGCTTCCTGCTCACCGTCGTGGTTCTCCGGAGAAGATCGGTTCTCCAGGAACCTGAGGTGGAAAAGAGAAGCGGCTACGAGCTGGTGGACGGACGGAGACCTGAGACACAGGACAACCTGAAGAGCTGAGGGGAGGGGGGGGGAGGGGGGTGACCTTCCTCTGGACCATCGACTCAGACCAGGTTTACTGTGATCCATATGTACTTCTCTGTACTTCTCTGTACTTCTCTGTACTGCAGTTACACCACAGTACTACACATATAAACGTACTCTAGTTTACTGTGATCTTATTGGTTATAACCTTGTTCTCAGAGCCAG